GGTGAAGGGAAAGCATCATAAGTCCTGGGCACAGTCTTCCAAGCAAACTGGGTGCTCCCATTTCGCAAACATCTAGTTACGCAGTGCCTAGTTATAGAAGGAAGAGGAGGGAGTGGTTGGCTAATTCAGAGTCACTCCCAACTCGAGATACAAACATTGTGTTAAGTGTACTTGAGTGTAGTGGTGAACTGGTAGATCATAGAATCAAAGACTTGTAGAGTTGGAAGGGACCTTGTGACTACACAAAGATTCTGTGGTCCTTCAGCAAACGGAGTTGTAGTGAGAGATGGAGGAGAGATTTATTCAAGTCCCCTTTCTTCAGCAGATAAGAGTTGATTTGAGACTCCTGAAGCTGTGTGTGGGTCATAACACACTTGCCTATAATTTTGAAGTGTAACTTCAGTGTGCTTAAAATGACCCATAAATTTCTCGTTTTTACATTGGAAAAAGTGTACAAAATGTGTGTTTCATGGGAAATGCCCTGAAAAGCATTGGGAAATGGGTGCTTGATGGGTAAAGTGCATCTTACATTAAAAGTGAGAACAAAATGCATACAGTTTGAATGTGGACTCTTCAGGCAGCCTTCAAAAAAGAAATCCTCGCAAAATGGCACACGACAGGCTCATAACTGAACACCAGCAAAACAGAAGGGGCAGAAAATTATTTGGCCGGAGAACTGCATTGCAAAATAATGTGCAATTTTTGAAGAATGCTTGTGTTTTCCACATCAACCTGCAACTTTTCCAATAAAGTGCATGGAAGTTCACTTTACTTTGGTATATTCAGGGAGATGGGCCAGGATAGTGTAGTAGTTAGAGTGTCATACTTGGGAGACCAGAGTTCAAATTGCCACCCAGCTGTGGAGCTCACCGGGTGACTTTGGGTCAGCTACTGTATCGACTTAGCCTAACCAACCACACAGGGCTGTTGTAAATATTAAATGGGAAGGGGAAAACCATTTATACCATCTTGAGCTTCTTGGTGTAAAGCTGGGATGTAAATAAGGAATCTGTACACATTTTACAATAAAATACCAATTTTAACCTAAAATATGAACTTTTGTATGCATTTTGCTACTTTTCTTAAGCCAAGAACTGGGTCCCAAAACTTTGAGAAGTGTGAAAACCTAAGGATTGCTGATTTCTGATCCATATATTAACTTGGACAGTGTAAATTAGGTTGTTTTGCTTAAAATGCATATAGTGAAATATTTGAGCACCCCAAATTCCAGTCACCTTCTTGTACAATATGTAGGTGGAATGCAATTAAGCCAAGGATGAAGTTTCCTGCATGGCTGATTCAGCTTTTCAATCCAGGAGGCCATTCCCTGAAGGATGGGAAGTGACATATTCTGGGAGGCAAAAGAGGTGACACGAGATTTTAAGTACCCATCTCATGTCTGGACAGTTCCAGCACCCGTCTTCATGTCATTTCCTCAATGTGCCCTGTGGGCAAAATGGTGCTGTCATGTGTTTGGGGAGGAACAGGTGTGCTTTGTGGAAAACAGCACATAGGCCTTCATCCTGCAATGCCTATCACTTTATTTGAGGGGAAATAGATACGGGGTTGATGGAAATAGTGGAATGTGAGCTCCAGACCCTACCATGTGGCACACAGCAGTAGAAAGAACATTCAGATGGAGCTGGTACTTGCAGGAAACATTGGAGAATGGAAAGGTGTATTTCCATGGCAGAACCTACATGCTGGCCACTATTCAGACCCTCCTGTTACAGTAGAAGAGATAGTGTGGTGCAGTGGTTAGAGGACTAGGACCTTGGACACCTGGGTTCAAAACCCCACACAGCCATGGTGGTTACAGATTGGCAGCCAGTGTAGATCTTTGAGAAGAGGTGTAGCATGTTTGTAGGATCTCACTACTCTCTGCAATCACATTGCTGCATTTTGCACTGACTGCAGATTCTGGTCCAAGCGCAAGGGAAGCCCCACATACATTGTGCATGCTAAGTTTTGGAAGGTGGCGCTGTGGGTTAAACCACAGAGCCTAGAACTTGCCGATCAGAAGGTCGGCGGTTCGAATCCCCATGACAGCGTGAGCTCCCGTTACTCGGTCCCTTCTCCTGCCATCCTAGCAGTTCAAAAGCATGTCAAAGTGCAAGTAGATCAATAGGTACCGCTCCGGTGGGAAGGTAAACGGTGTTTCCGTGCGCTGCTCTGGTTCACCAGAAGCAGCTTAGTCATGCTGGCCACATGACCCGGAAGCTGTACGTCGGCTCCCTTGGCCAATAAAGCAAGATGAGCGCCGCAACCCCACAGTCGGCCACGACTGGACCTAATGGTCAGGAGTCCCTTTACCTTTACCTTTAAGGACAGGAGTGGTGAACCATTATAGCTGATAGAAACAAAGGTGAGATACCATCCAACACTTCACATATGACAATAGAGAGCTGCATGTGAGTCACACCCCTAATCTCATACCAAGGCCAGGATCTTGCCTGACATTTGCCTCATTTCCTCTTTTGTACATTACTGAAGCATTTGTACACTTTATTTCTTAACTCAGCCATAGTCTGTTCTACATCAAATTATGTATAGGGAGAGCAGTTGCTCTTCCCCTTAAAATTTTATTCAAAGACATTTATTTGTCTTCTATCTGTTACAAAAAGTTAAAAATGCACCTCAGTGCAGGGATGGGGAACCTGTTAGCCCCCCAGATGTTGCTGGACTCCAACTCCCAGCAGCCTCAGCTAGCATGGCTAATGGCCAGGGAAGAAGGAATTTTAGTTAACAGCATCTGGAGGCCAAAGAAGCCTGCTCTAGTGACTGCATGTGGGATATAGCTGTTTGTGCATAGCACATTGACTTAATGTTCATGCATATGCATCTATATACATGTGCAACAGAGATTCATTCACCTTTCCACTCCAATATTTAGCTCAGGGGAGGAAGCGGAATTGTGAAAGAGGACAACCCAGTGCTTGGAACAAACTAGTTCAGCTGAACAAAGTTCGCAGTTTAAAAATATCTGGACTACACCTGAAGGTAATCGGTGAACTAAAAGTCAATTTAATTCATTTTGGGGCAGAACTTTGAATGATTTCTACTTCATCTTCATGCTCATGCTCTTCCCCCAGCAGCAGGAGGTCTGGACTATTATTTTTCATTTTAAAAACAGTAAGTAAATCAGATATTGATAAAGTTAGAAAGCAAAACATTGAGGCATTGTTTTAGGGCTTATTAGGCAGATATACAGGTGCTGCTGTTGTTAAGGATGTTTAGTCATTTAATCGCTGTTGCTAAACAATCAGAAGGAAGGAATGTAAGGCACTTCCTGTATCTTCCCTGCTGGAGAGATCCACTCTCTTCCAACAGGAGCAGCTTTCCCAGAAAAATACAGGTACAGGAACAAAGAGAATGATGCCATGTGCCTTTAACAGTGGTGTAACTGGCACAAATTAAACAGGGCAAGCCTTTTCTTTTATGGAAATACAATAATAAAGAACACTTCATCTGTTGACATTCTGTCTGTCAGACATCTTGTGGCCCCTGACTTACTTTTGGACCCTGTACTTCAGCACAGCACCTTGTAATATTCCGAATGTTGAACATGAAGTTTTTAAGAACTAGAAAGTCATTGGAATACAGCTGAACTGAATAGCTTGCTTCATAAAAAAAAAGGAACCAGTTCCTTTTAAGTATGAACTTTCCAAGCACTGGCACAACGCTAGCAATTCTCACTTGCAAGATTTGAATAAGGCACCTCTTAAAACCAACAGTGATTTCTCAGGCATAAGTAACAGAAAACTGGGACTGTCCCTTGTAAATAAGGAGAGTTGGAACATGTAGGATGACGCTGAAGGTGAGGAGAGAGTGAGAGGTAGGGTTTTGGGTGAGCCAGCAAGTGAGGCATGATGGGTCTGTGGCAGTTCAGACCTTCCTTCATTCTTTCCTTTCCATTGTTGAATATTTCTGGCGTGATGTAACTCTCTTTGGCTTGCATGGCGTTTTCCCTTTTAATATTTTCTTAAGAATACTTTTCTTATTACTGTGGAGAAGTATTTTTTAAAAAATAAAAGGCGGAACAGCCCACCTCACCATTCACACTGCACACCTTTCACAAACAGTGAAAGACTCATCTTGCGGATCTGGAGGTGGGAAAGGGTGGGGTGCGCAAAATTTGCCGTTTTCCCTACTCCCCAACTCAAGTTGCCGAGGAGACTACAAAGTCCCATGCTTCCCAGCATGAAAAGAGCATGCCATTTGAACAGTTACGAGCGACCCTATGGTTTTGAATGTTGTGCTTTTGTTTTCTGACCAGAATTCCACTGGGATCTGCTAGGCACTAATGAACAAGATCTACACTTCCCCACAAGGTCCCCACAAGCATCCACAAGCACTGCAAACATGGAAGACATTCCACCACACCCACCCAGCTTACAGAAGAGAATATTACTCATGCATGTTTGTTTGCAAAAATCCAGATGAGACTCTTTGCCGTTTGCATGTTGATACCTTTACAGCCAGTGTAAATTAAAGCATGAGGGGACTAGAGTTTGCAAAGTCCAGTTCCCCTCTCCTGAGATATGTGGGGCTTCTCAGGCTCTCCAAAGAGGGGAAAGTTTTCAGGGTAGCCTCAGTGGCAGCCTGGTCCCACATTGGAAATCTGAGCTCCAGCCCTGAAGCCCTGAAGAGTCATTCCATAGGAACACAGGAAACCACTTCATACTGAGTCAGCCTATTGGTCCAACTCGTATTGTCCATACACTGACTGGCAGCAGATTTCAAGGATTTCAGAGGGGTGTGTGTGTGTGTGTGTGTGTGTGTGTGTGTGTATTGGGGGTCTCTTTTCCAGCTGTAACTTGAGTTGCTGAGGGTGAAACTTGAGACATCCTGCAAGCAAAACATACGCTTTAAGCCTACACTACAACCTTTCCCTGTTCTGCTTTTCCTGCCCCGCCTCCCAGCAGCTCAAACTTTTCTCAACAGGCTAGTTTACATTTCACCCTACAGTGGTGACGGGGGAAAACCACAAACACGCTTACCTGGTAAGAGTCCTGGCTTCCTCACGGGCCTTTTCCCAGTCTGCCGCTTCCTTCCGAAGCATCAAAAAAATATTTTCGCCAGTTAAGAGCCATCAAAGCTCAGAGGCTCCTCCCGGCACTCTGGGAGTGAGGACAAGGCAGAGGAGGAGGAATCTCCAAAAGAAACATTCCATGGGTGGAGCTTTCTAGCACACTCTTGGTTGCTAGCTGTCAAGGCTGGGGAAAGCAGAGAGCTGTACCAGGTAAACAAAAAGGGCCCCCATCAGACCAGCAGTGCAGAATCTATCTGAGTGATCTGAGCAGCCAGTCCCACGATTGCAGGAGGTAGGGATTTGATGGTTAGTCCATTCAGTCCCCTAAAAGAGACCCAAGATTTCACTACTTTTGCAAACATTTCCCTAACTTGTACAATCCCCCCCCCTCACAAAATGCACATTTTATCATGCATTTTCCTCCAAACACATTTTTGGGGTAAGCATTGCAAAATTCAGAAAAGCACACTATCCAATTTAAGTGACTTCAAAATGGGTATATTTCGAAGAACAGCAAACTAGGTCTGTTTACTTTAAAATATGGACCCAAAGGAATCCTCCACTCCTGGGGTGCAAGTTCAGTGTTCAAATATTGTGATGAAGTTTCCTGGACAAACTTGGGTCTGGCTATTGTTTAATACAATTGGGAGCTGCCACAAAATGTTACAATGCATTCTTCTCACCTAACAGGACAACTCCTGTTCCATCCATGCTTACCTCCAGCATACTATAAATTGTGAAGGGGTTCAAGAAGACCATTTAACTCCCCGCCCTGTTTCCCAATTTTCTTTTCTAACTAACACTCCATATGCCCTGGGTTCTAGAGACCACTGAGCATGCTCAATCCTCATTGGGTTTATTTGAAGGGGGTGTCATCGTTTTGTATCTCTGCGAACCTTGGAGTTTCCCTGAGATGCTGATATCTCTCTCTTGCTTCTCTGTGGCCTGTTTTGGTTCAGGTTGGCACAGGTGCCTCCTTTTCAGCATTAGGAGAACTGGGGTTTATATCCTGCTTTTCCATTAGCATTGACCCCGCCACCCCAGCAGCCTATAGCAAATAGTTACAACAAGAACAGCAACAGCAACAGCAACCAAGTAAACATGCAATTCAAGCTGCTGGCTTGTTTGATATATAAAGCTCTAAATGGCCTGGGGTCAAGGTTTCCAAGGGATCACCTGTTCACATATGAAACAGCCCCTGCATTAAGATCTTTGGCTGAGGCCAATCTGCAGGTTCTCTCACGTTAAGAATGGCAGGTGGAGTCAGGGCCTTTTCTACACTGACACCAAGGCTGTGGAGCCCTCTCCCTTCCCCAGCCTCATTTGTTAGGCGGCTATGTTGCTGTCTTTTAAATGAAAAAATTATCAATGAGAGAACAAGCGGTACATACATTTTGTTAAATAAACAAGCACACTAGAGCTTTAAAGGTTAAGACTCACACTTTGACTTGCTTATGGTAAAGGAAATACAGTGGTACCTCTGGTTACAGACGCTTCAGGTTACAGACTCCGCTAACACAGAAATAGTACCTCAGGTTAAGAACTTTGCTTCAGGATGAGAACAGAAATCGTGCCGAGGTGGCAGCGGGAGGCCCCATTAGCTAAAGTGGTACCTCAGATTAAGAACAGTTTCAGGTTAAGAACGGACCTCCAGAATGAATTAAGTTCTTAACCTGAGGTACCACTGTAGTAGCTTAGTCAAGAACTTTGCAACTGTATGTCAATGTATCTCCACACAACTGCTTCCCATATCAATTTTGAGATTCTCTGGGAGGAGCCACCAGCACCCTTTTCTCCCACACTGCACATCCTCACTTCAACAACACTGTTGGGGAATGTTCTGGGGTGTAGCTACTTCCGGGGATGCACAAACACCTCTGTGTTCCCCTCCAAAAGTGGGAGGGGCTTCCCATGCATTCCAAAGGAATGAGTGCCAAAGCTCCCTACCCTTCCCCACTGGGGCCCTTGTCAGCAGTTGTAGCCATGGGTGGTACTGCTGTTTTCGGCCTTTCAGAAGTAGTTTTGTCATTCACCCACTGCTAAATTGCTTGCCCAGGACCCGGCAGTGAGGATGGTGAATGGTGTTGCTACCAGCAGCAGCAGCAGCAGCAGCACCCCACTCACCCAGTGCAACTGCATTGTCAGCAAAAGAGGTTTAAAGACTCTCTCAAGGCAAATCTAACAAAATGTGGTATAAACACCGGCAATTGAGAAACACTGGCCTGCGAGCGCTCCTATTGGAGAACAGCCTTTACCAAAGGTGTCATGGACTTTGAAGACACTCAAACTCAGGGCAAAAGGGTGAAACGAGCTAAGAGGAAGGCACATTTGGCAAACTCTCACCATGATCAGCTCCCACCTGGAAACCTAAGTCCTCACTGTGGAAGGTTGTGTGGATCCAGAATTGGCCTCCACAGTCACCTACAGACACACCGCTAAGACCGTGTTCATGGAAGACAACCTTACTCGACTATGAGTGATCGCCAAAGAAGAAGATGTGTGCTGGAGAGTGTGGGCCCCTTCTGTGATACCATGTCAAGGGCCCTTGATGCCCAACATGGATCCTAATGACATCTAACCCTGATGTTGTAAAATTATATATATGTAATTTCTATTCCCCCACCCCACCCCACCATTTACAAATGCAGATGAAGGACATACACGTATTACATGACACACTTGCTAGGGATAACTACCTGAAAAACATTAATTACAACTTTTATACTACCAAGCTTGCCTAATACTAGGTCTTCAACTGGCCTAGGAACTCACACAAAGGAAAAAGCAGCTGGCTGAGGCCAGAAGCCCATTTGCACCTGCGTCCTGTTCTCACAGTAGCCAGTCAGAAGCCTATGGGAAGCCCACATTCAGAACCTGAGTGCAGCAGCTCTCTGTCCACCTGTGTTTCCATGCTGCTGATATTCAGAGGCATGCTGCCTCCAACACGGGAGGTAGGAAATAGCCAACAGGGCTAATAGCCATCAATTGCCTCATCCACCATGAATGGCTTTTTAGTCATCCAAGTTGGTGGCCTCTTGTAAGAGTGGATTCCACAGTTTAGCTATGAGCTGCATAACAAAGTGCTTTCATTAATACTAATCAATTTATGAAATAGGAAATTTCATGCCCCACACCACTGCTGGGAGACCCACGCATACTACCTTGAGTTCTGCTGAGGTATAAATGCAACACATTAATAAATAAAATGCCCAACGGGAATTTTTAAAATTATTATTCACATTTTATTGAACATCTCAATATAACACATACACCTTTCCCCCCACCTCTTTGTTCTGCTTGCATTTTAACTGATAAGGCACTTGTCTGTCTACATTCAAAAGTCACAGCTGTATTGTGCGGTACAGAATCTGGAGATAAGATGTGACATGGAAGATAGGCAGGAAAAGAAAAAGCTATTACCCCTTTCACCTCCCCAACCAGCATTTACAACAATAGTGCAATAACAAAACGATAAATCATGAATGGCTCAGATGGTGGGGTGGTGCCATGGAGCCACCGTTCCAACATCGGGGTTGCTCTGCTTACCTCGATGAGGCACGGGGGCAGCAAGGTTGGGGCAGTTCAGGTGTATTGATGGTGCCAATCTGGCACTTCTGCCCACACAACCCCAGTCTCACTGCCACCCTGGTCCATCTCTATACAGTGCAGGTAAGTGGCAGCAATGCCACTGTCGGTAGGTTGGTCATTGGGCACCACTCTATCATGTCAGCCATTCCTGGACACAGATGGGCATACCCAAATATGAATGAGAATCTCCCAAGACTCAAATCAGGTGGCATGAACTCAGTCTTTCTCAGAGTAGACCACTGAGATTAATAAGCACGATGTTCCTCAGGTCCATTAATTTCAGTAGGTCTATTTTGCATAAAACTTTGTTGAATACCACTTATTGATTTCAAATCAATGCTCGATGAAACAAAGGGAAACAAGAAAAAAACCCCCCACCTAATCCAATTTTATTCTGAGTCTGTGGTAATTCTCACTAATCTTTGGATATGGGCACCTGTGCTTCAAATATCAGCATTTTCATTTTATAGGCTTGAGTTCTGTATTCATCCTGTAGTCACCTTTCCCCTTATCGTTCTCCCTCTCCCTCCCCCTGCTTCGGGGGACATGATTTGTGTTCAGTTTTATCTCACCTTTCCTCTAAGGTGCTCAGGGAAGCAAGTCTCACATTTTATCTCCTCAACAATGCAGCAAGGTAGTTTAGACTGAGAGAGAGTGACAGGAAGAATCAAGGTTACACAGTAAACTTCATAGCTGAGAAGGGATTTCACTTTCCAGGGAGTTCACCAGGCTATGAAACTTCGTCATTCCAGGAAACTGGTCAAATGCACTTATTCTGTCAGGCATTTGGGGATAGTTTTGACTGACAGCTTTACACTCAGTACATCTTGTTAGTTTGGCATGATGGCTGGAAGAAACTCATCCCTGTCTTTGAACTGACTTGGTTCTCTCTCTCTCTCTCTCTCTCTCTCTCTCTCTCTCTCTCTCTGTGTGTGTGTGTGTGTGTGTATCTCAGCAGTCAAGACCAAGTGTGCCAGCCACCTTCAGTTGTGGTGGTGGGTAGGTTTTTGAAAACTGGATTGGGCAGGAATAGTGCAATCTGCAACGTGTAAGTAGTACACGTCCACAATATGCAAACCGTAAGTGGTTTAGATCGAATTAGTTGCAAGAACCAGGGAATTTGGATATGACCATTTAATATAGACTTCTTTGATCAGTACGTATATCAGAAAACTGAACAGTCTGAATTAGGTGAGTGTCGGACAAAGGCCATCCCTCTCTCCCTCTCATACATCACATCCATGTCCTGCCTAAAAGAAAGTGCTGATATGAAAAGTAGGTAATATTAGTTCTGTATAAGGTTTCCATTACCCACTTTCACAGGATTTAAGGGTTGCTTATGATGGTGCTGTTTTAGAGGTCAGAGCTGTCTGAGGTGGGCAGGATGTGAAGTTGAAGGGAGAAGGCTTATAGTCGGTACTATTGAATGCCTCCAGACCTATTTCATTTGGGTTATGTTTACCGGGGGGCAGGGAGGAAGGGTCTTTCTTCATAATGAATACTTCACTGTCCTGCCTCCTGTGGCTTTCACTTCTGGCTTGGAGGTGCTCTCTACATCGTTTCCCAACGAGGTAGAAGGCTTCAA